TAAAAGGAGTAAAGGCACATTTCTAAAGGAAAAGCAAAATGCTTTGGGAACATTGATTTTTCTTGTCTACCAAAAAAACTTAGAGGAGATAATCCTACACTATCTGCAAGAAATTGTTCCATTCAATAACAGTGGAAATATATCTGATTTCAGAGAACACAATTTGGTTATGAGGTGGCATACACTGTGCTGTTTAAAAAAGTGTATCACAAGTGTATTCTTTTATCCATTAGTTAATTCATCCTACTGCATACAATGCTGATGTACACACAGGTGAGTACAGCAGACTGCCTAACTTGAGGGCCTTTTATTGTTCTTACTTGCCGTGTTCATAAGAGTGACTGAATCAGCTAAGACCTCAAGGAAACAGAGAAGGTTGTTCATTGCACAAGGACATTGAAAAAATACTCCAGAAAAGATGATTTCAGAAAACACAAGTTTACCAAGGACTGAAAAAAGAAGCGCATAGGGAAACACAGCAAGGGTGTAGGAGCCTGCAGCTCCAGGGGAACAGGCAAGAGGAGAAATTGCTGCAAAGGGCATGGAGCTGAGATTTCACAGGTGATAAAATGTAAACCCCCATGATTCTGGAGGAAACTTCAGAGTTTTTGCAACTCAAAACATTACTGAGGGGCTAGATATCAGGTCTGAAAGCAAGGATTCTCTTTGGTCAAGATTTGTCCTCAAATACAGAGAAATTCATAGGAAATTACTTGTTTATAAGCAGACTTCTATTTATATTCTGCCTTACCTGGCTGTTTCCAGGTTTTCTATTAAAAAAATAATTATATTTTCTAGTGTAATAATCAAAGTTAAAAAACTTCTGTAAGGGTAAGTTTTAAGCAGATCCACTTCAAAGTTCTCTTTTATGTGTGTAAATATTAAGACAAATTGTTTAGAAATAGATCATGTAAACTTATGTAACTTACACCTGCTGAAGCTTTCAGTATTCCTGTTTGTCTTTTACACTGAATATTCATCAGCACACATAAACAGAACCAATCACGTAAAATACAGCTATTTATCATAGAATTATTTTGGTTGGAAAAAACCTGTAAGAACATTAAGTCTAACTATTAGCTTAATTCCATCAAGTCCACCACCAAAACTGTGTCACTAGGCACCTCACCTATACAGCTTTTAAATACCTCCAGGGATAGTGACTCCATCACTTCACTGGGCAGCCTGTTCCAATGCTTGATAACTCTTTTGGTGAAGTTCTTAATATGCAATCTAAGCCACCCCTGTCACAACTTGAGGCCATTCCCTCTTGTCCTATCACTTGCTGTTTAGAACTTTTTGTCTAGATTATTGCTAAATAAAGCTTAGACTACAGATTCTGTATATACTTCTTTTGCATATTCTTTTATATTAACATCTGCATTTCTTTTGGAGCAAGATTTAGTTAGATTGCCTGAAACGTACCTTTCTGTTAACTCCTTCAATTTTATTAATTTTCTTCTGTTTTCTTTTGGTTTAGTTAATGTCTGTGAAGTACTTCTGAATATTTTGAAAGATGAACCTCTACAACAAACAAAATTAAGGTAGTTCTTTTTAAGACTCATAGCAAATTATTAAGAATGCATTAATTCATACTAGGCAAATACACAGTCTTACTCTTCTTCTATTGACCACTTGTCCAATATAGAATGATACTATCATTAACAGGCAGAATAAGAGCCAAACTCCTCCCTCCACTTCACACACCAGAGATCCAAAGTGCCAGACAACCAGAGGGAGGAACAAGTCAATGCACTCACCCACCACAGTGGACACAAAGAAGGGAGTGAGCTGGGCAAGGAGCCAAGTCATGGGCAATGGCAGCAGCCAGGCCATGAGCTCAGTTATAGAGTAGGGACTCAGAGACTGCTTCATGATCTGGCCCTACCATCCTGGGAACGCCACTTGCCATGAAGCCCTTCTAATAGCCATAGTCCCTAGACAGCATGCACACACACTATAAAAACAAACCTCCAAACTCCACTGCATGCAGTCAGCGCTTATAAAGGCAATTTCTTGCCCCACCTCCAAGTTAATGTGGAAGGCAGAGCCACCTGGTGTTTATCTAATCAGTTCCCACCCAAGGCTGGCCAGACCCTGGCAGAAAATCAGTCAGGAGGGTCTTTCTTGCCTGGCTGTGCACATCATCTGTATGCCCACTCATTCTGGGCTGGGGGTTTAACCCTAGCTCTTCACATTCTCTCTGAGTATACATGCTGGTCTGTAGTATGACCATCCCCCAATAATTTTTCCAGTTCTTTAACAGGGATGAAGCACTGTTCTAACACTGTATCTTTTCTCATAATATTTAACTACCTAAGGAAATCATTTTATAGTCAGTTGCTCCAAATATAAAATTGAGTCTGTGACGGAATGAGCTCTGGAACCATGGCTCCTGTTATAGTGTCCTGTAATTTTCATATTTCCCCTTCTGTTCTTCTAAGTCTTTTGGAACAGGAAACATTTTTCTTGTGTGTGGATTAGATACACCTGCTTTATTATGTCAGAACTAAATATGTATTATGTTACTGAAAAATAACATTTAATGATAAAAGAAATGAGACACTGGAAGAGGTTGTCCAGAGAAGCTGTGGATGCCTCATCACATTCAAGGCCAGGTTGGATGGGGCTTTGAGCAACCTGGCTGGTAGAAGTTATCCCTGCCCATATCAGGGAGGTTAGAACTAGATGATCTTAAAGATCCCTTTCAACCCAAACCATTCTATGATTTTATGAAAATGGAGGAGCTTTTTTATCTCTTGATCAGCTATACTTCTGATATATCTGTGAGTAGGGAAGGAAACAAGAAAAATGAAAGGAGATAAGAGAACTAGGAAGAAAGCAAGAGTGGTAAACTCGTAAGTTTTTTTAGGGTTTGTATCTCTACAAACCTTTATGCAATATGAGAATATAGGTACAGATACAGAGCTTCTAGGACCTTTAAACCTATTTTGCCATGGAAGGACAGTCATTCAGGTTTTTGTTGTATACAGATACCTATACTGGGTGACAGCCGTATGTTTCACTTGAATTCTTCATAGTTTAGATATCCCAAGACAGAAGATTAGACTATCCTTCTCTGGGTGTTTAGTGGGTTTGGGATTTCTTGCTTTAATTTTTTTAGTAAAGGACAAGTGATGTAAAGGGAATGTTATGACCAAAGAACATGAGACATGGTTCTCTGTTGAATGTCAGTGCTGTTGACGTCTGCCTATATAAGTGATTTGACACAATGTACAGAATACAGCTGTAAATATACTACTCTGCCTGTCACAAAGTGCTTGCAGATGGAGCTGAGTAGGTGCATAGGGAATCATATCCTAAAATAAAAATCCCAATGCACAAAATAATAAACCTATTAAAAAGTGCTTTACTACACTCTTCTGTCCAGAATATTGTACAGTTTCATATAAACCAAGTACACATTTCTAGTTTTCTTCCTGAGAAAAAGCTAACAATTAACTTTCTCAAGCCAATGGTAGTTGAATTTCATATTTAGGAGAATGCTTGAATTGCACCAACCTTACAATAAGACAAAACTATTCCAGATCTGCTTCAATATTTAATCTTTGGTGGGTTTTTTTTCCTCCCCAGTGTTAAGTTAGGCAACATCTTCTGCCTTTAAGACACTACTATAGCAAGGTCGCTCCATTGTGTCTTCCAGTCTGCACACAAGCCATAGTCTCTAAATGAGTCTTTTCCTTCTCAGCTTGACTTTTTGAAAGAGACTACAACCTGAATCTGCTTATTTGCTCTTAGAAGAGCAATTAGTCCCATCTTACATCTGTTCCAGTTCACCTGTCAAGTTCACGTTTGCAGAGAGTACAGCAGTGAGCACAAAGTACACATGCAGCTTTTCACTTGCTGTCTCACTACTTAACCTCTTTAAAGGATCATGCAGAATTAAATCAACAGAAATGAAATTTTTTTAATCAAATTATGTGAAGATGCAATCCAAGCAGAAGATACCATTTAACACACCTCCCCCAAAAAACCCAACTAGCCTTCTGTGACAGTTTGAATCCGGTTTATATAAACTCATTTCGTGCCTATTTTAGTTTGAAGAGAGAGTGAGTAGAACAGGTAAAAAGGAGGTGAAAAAGATTCCTATTCTGGAGCCACTGGAGCTCCCCTACCAGGGAGAAGAGTACAAGTGACAGAATGCAGCAATAAAAGGGATAGAGGAGTGTGGCAGCAAGGAACTGGGAGATAACAGCTGAAGTAGAGACTGAAGTATTGCTAAGATGTTCAGGCAATAGACCCACAGCCAGCTGTTTGTGTTTACAGAAGGAAACAAATCCTAGAAACCAGACAGAAGGACCTGCTGTGCACTGGCATGCTGGGCAGCTGGATACTTGCGAGTCCTTTTATTTTTATCTTTATCTTGTCTTGCATAGTCATTTTCATATGTTTCTGGTTTAGCTTCTTATTGTTCATAATCTAATACGTAAATATTCTGAGTTTTAAAGCTTTTTTTGAACATCCTTAGAGATATCATGTAATGAAATGGTCTAGACAGATCTCACTTAAAACCTTATGTATTTGGGGGTCCTGTGTTTACATTCCAAAAAGTTCCTATTGAAGTATTTTCTGCCTTAAGTAACTTGTTGAAGTATTTAAAACCGTTACATTTTTATAGCTTTAAGAGGCACAACAGTAACTTTCAAAGGTTTCTTTCTATTTATATGTGAAAGATCCTCCTCTGGCTCACTGTTTTGCTCAGGTTTAGAGGGTGACATCCCTTTTTAGATATTCACCATAGCCCTATTCTTAGGAAGAGATCTCAAGGTCCCAGTCTATCAATAAATTGCCTGTTGTCCTATCCTTTACAAATTTTAAAAGCACATCAAACATAGCCAACTCTAAATGGAAGGAAACACTAAAGAACAAAAAGTTTCTAGCAGTTCTTGTTTCATATAAAAAATGTACGGAATATATCTTGTTCTTTCCCAATACTCATGAAAAAATTTTGTTTCTCTTTCCATTCTTTGCATTCACATAGGAAGACAGCTGCCTTCAGATGAAACAGAAGTCTCTGACAGTTGTTCTTGCTTCAGTCCTACTTCATGAGAACTTCAGAAGATACTAACTGAGGTATTTATTTGTTCTTTTCATTTTTAGAATTTCTACTTTGTATATATTAGATAAGTAGAAGAGCAGACAAAAGACACCATGAGTCTAGACCAAGGAGAGTAACCATACATGGAAAATAATATAAAAGTTCTGTCTGTAAAGAGACCTATAAACTCATGTCTTTCTATAGCAGAGCACTATGTTATTCGATTTATTTTTATAAATTGAGAAATAAAATAATTACAAATATGCCAAAAGGAAACATATTAAAATCCAGTTAAATGTTGCTTTTTGGAGATCTTCTACCTGTTTTTTATGATTCTCTGCTTTTCTCTAAGAATGGACAAAAGATTTTGCAGGAAATCCCTGGGTATGAATACATATTCACCTAATAAATGAATAAAGAACCCTTCAAAATTATCTGACACTTACAGGTTTTTCCTTCTAATTCTTCTAGTGAGTTTCAATTATAGCAAAACCGTGGTGTTAATACAATATACAAATGCTTTCATCCCAGTTTATCTTTCATAAGTCCATGAGATTAAGTATAAAAGTGGTTTTAAGGATATTGATAAATATTTTATTATGGAAAAGATTTGTCATTTTTGTCAGAGACCAGTGAATTAATTCCTTTATATAGGAAAGAACTTGTCCATTTGTATATGTAAACAGAGTCTGATAAAGGATTAATGACCACAGAACTCATAAAGGGAAAAAAGTGCCTGTAAGCCTATGATCATTGAATTTGTGTCAGTCCTATATTTATGATCTGCAGCTGTTAACTGTCTGATAGGAGCTTCATCTTCTAAGGCATGAAAACAGTGTAAGTGCATGACTGGAAAAAAAAAGGAAATATTGTGCTTTGAGAAATTAAATTGTCCAGATGTAGGGATGATGATTGCAATGCTTCATACAGCACAAAACTTTTATTCTGTAAATATTACAAATGTGTGTTTTAATGCTTTTTAAATTGCACCCAGTTACTAGCACAGATTCTAGATTCTAGATATCATAGGTAGAACAGAAATTCCCTGTGTTAGTGTTTGTGTAGTCAGTCTGATGTGAGCAGTGCCAGCCTGGAATCCTTCTTCTGTGTTTGAGAACTCAAAGCTTATATGACACTGAAAAAAGATGGCTCGTAATTTCTAAAATATCATATTAAAGTATGTAATAGATGCAACTTTTTTTTTGTATAGCTCTTGCTCTTCATGTGCATCTTTCTTAAATACCAAGAAGGGCTTAACTTTTTTGGAAGGTTGGTAAATGTTAGCGTAGTTATTGTATAAAATTCGTATGTGCTATTTTAGGTATATTACAATAGGTGTATTCCCTCTTTTTAAAGAGACTTTACGCTGGCCAATATAAATTATAATTAGAATAACTTTAATATTAAAAATAAAAGTTTTCAGAAAAACTACTGTTAAAATTCAATTGGATGTTACATATGGATTCAGAAAAGAAAGTAGAAGTCTTTTTTGTTTCTCACTTTGCATTGTGTGCTGTTAGCAGCTAACTATGTTAACAGTTTTTATGTGCAGTTTCTATGAAGTGCTGCATATTTTCAGATTTTTAACAAAGCAATTGTCATTGTGTGACAGGCTGGGCCATTTTAGAGTGCGCATGGCCCCCGAGTGGGGCAGTTTGTTTCTGGAGTCAGTACACAACCATTTCAGCAGCAGAATTAGCTGCTTATGTCACAGAATATAATTAGCTACGTCTGTATGCCAAAGCAACAGGATGGAATGCAAAACACAGCCAAACATGTGAACAAATTTTCTTCCAGTGGTATTTGGCCAGGCCTAAAATATCTTCCACTCCAGATTTGAAAGTAGTGGAGAAGTTAGACAATTCTCTCTTGGGAAGAGACTGATTGTAGTTTGTTCAGAAGTCCTCATTGTTTCAGATCTCTAAGGCAGGTAACAATTTTTAAAATTTCTTTTTATATCTATATTAAAATATTAGGATATTAATAATTGAGCTGGGTTTTGTTTGTTCTTTGCTTATGTATTGAGCTTCTCCCCACCTGATTTTCTGTACAACATTTTAGGCTGATTCTGTCTTCATTTAAGGATCATGTTAATGCTTATGTGATTTATTTTAGGACATTAAAGTGTTCATTTTCATATACAATTATTAATTTAGATTCTGACAGTTTAATTATGCTTGTTTTTACAATTAGATGCAGTATTAAGTTGCACTTGTGTAATAATAAGAAACTAAATTTTAGTACTTTAAAAATCTTTTACAATATCATATTATTGTACTTATATAAATATTTGATTTGAGGTAGTAAACCTCTGATGTTTATAGCTCTAAATTTTTCCAATTTTGTCTATTACATACTGAAAGTTCAATTGAATCAGGAATGGATCCATGCTTCTGCTGAAGACTTCTTTTTGGCTTGGCAGTGTGATAATAACCTGCTATCTGAGGAACTGTTGCAAATTCAGTTCTGACTTCTGTGAAGCGTACTTAACTAATATGGACTGTCCAACTATGTGTATACAGAACTCTTTTTACAAGTTTGTAATCTCCTTGAATTCAAATACATTTTCTCTTGGATAATTTCACTGACTGAAATAAAATTACTAACTAGGTATTAGTGAGTTACTGACTCATTGTCAGATGATTTATTGCATGATAGTCGGTGTCTCTCCACGAACAGGTGCTCACACTGCATATTTAATCATGCATCAGAATGAGCACATACGTTCCTAAAACAGGATATTGCCAAGGTGTAAGAATATGATTTGATTGCATGAATAGCAGTCAGCTAGGCTACTTTTATAGAGAAATGGATGGCTCTTCCATATTTATCTTAAATCTCCTCCTACTTGAGGAGTATCACGTCCTAGAAGTGTCTGCCTCTCCCCACTGTCTGTGGAGGAGCCCTAAGTAAATATGGCTGATGGTATGTGTGTTAGAGTTCTGAAAGTTTGCAGTCAGTTAAGATATTGGAATTTTGGGTTGTGATGCATAGTCACTGCCAACACAACTTTGGCTGAGATGAATGTCCATTTATCTTCTAAACAAATGTGTTATTCACATATTAGACACAGACCTCCTTTCCATTCTGTAATGAAGAATAAACAGTCCTAGAATACCACCAAAGGGTAAGAAGCACTGTATGGAGTTAAATTAAAAATAAAAGGATCTAAATTAAGACCAGCGTTAGAAATAACCATTTAAAGTAACTTTTCTAAGCCTTTGCACCTTTGCTAATAACATGCAACTTTTTCCTAGTTGAAAACTCAGCAGTTAAAAGGAGGTTGTATTTTAGCTTTTATTCATTATCATAAGGCTTTAGTAAAAAATACGAAGACATAGTATTAATCCTTACTGTAATAGATTTGTAATTATAAAGATATGTGTGACTGTATTAAATGTTGAGAATACTCATGCAACAATGTATGTTTTAAGCTTAATGGAAAAGAATTTTGGAGGTACAGTTCAAACAAATGGATATAGTATTTCATACAAACCCTAGCTTCTGTCAAAAGGCACAGAAAAGTTGAGTGTACAGAGATCTTCTTGCTTGAATAGCCTTATGAGATTTATTCCTTCCTGTGAAAAGTAATGCCTTTTACATGAGATAAAAATCCCAGGTCTTGACTTCTTAACAGTTTTTAATTATTTTCATGACTTGGAATTAAGCTGGATTTCCTGTGGACTTATTTCTCAAAGTTGATTGTCATAGGTGTTTAATGAGCAGTGGCTGGACTGAAGGTTTTTTGTAACAGAGACATTTACAAGGTATTTTTGTCATACAGGTTTTCTGATGTCTAATAAGATTTTCTTGTCCGTTGCAGTCTCAGTGGAGACATAAACAGGGTTTCTTCTTCTCTTTTCTGTCTCATTTTCAGAAAGCTTATAGGAGTGCAGTGTTTCTGAGACTTATCTGTTGAATTTAGCTGAAATTGGGTAAGAAACTCAAAAGCTATTGTAGGAGGGAAATGAATGTGAGACAGATGATTTAGTGACATAAAGTGTGTTTGCTTTTGAATTTATTAAACCAGGCTAGAAACATCATGCCAGTTAGGATAACAGGTTAATTCAATATCCTGGTCAAATTTTCAGCTTGGGTAAGAATATTCTCACTATTTAATTCATCTGTGACTTTGACTACCTGGGCCTGTCTTCTCACTAAACCTTTCTCTGTATCTGCCAAAAGCTGTTAAAGAGCTGCTGCATTTCGTGCTGTGGTTGGTTATTTTTCTGTGGTGGATGAAGTACTACTTCTGTATAAGAATGTGAAGAGGAATATAAACCAAAGTACATCAATGCTTTTAAAAATGGAGTGTGGTGTGTGCCAAATGTTGGATATTGCTGGTATTAGCCATACAACATGTTTTTCATTAAGACGTATAATATATTTGTTTATTTGTGTCTCCATATGTATATCCTAAAGTTTGTCTGTAAGAATTAGGTATATGTGTATATTCAGTAATGGGATGTAGGGGTGGAATCATCTGTAGTTATGCCTGTTTAAATTCTTTAGTTCCTCCTTGTTTATTTGCTGTGTGGCCAGTGCTCTGAGGAACAAAAGAAAGTCTTAGTACCTCTTCTTCACCTTAGCTTTTTCCAGTAGTGTGAGTGACCGATGCTATATCTTAGACAGACATTTTGCATTATTGCCTTATTAGTTCTGGATACTAGTGGTTTTCAGAAAAGGCTGCCTGTGTGACATAGGTCAGCTTCTCTTTCAAGTTAAAGCTTCGCAGAGGTCCTACTTTGGATTTCAAATCTGTTAGCTCTGGCTATGACAAGCATACAGCCTCTGCCAGTGATGGCTGCTGATGGAGGGAGACATGTCTGCAATGTTCCACTGCGCCCAATTTTCTCATTTTTGAGGAAAAGGAGTTTGCAGTGAGAGGCACTAATAAGTAAATAAACCCCACGTTCTAGTAACTCCGGACTGCTTCAAGCAGAACAAAATGTAAGTGATTCTTAAAAACTCTGGAATGAAGCTGAGTCAGCAGAGTGCAGCTATGGCAATGGACCCAAAGTGCAGACCAGGCTGC